GGAGGGGAGGGGAGGGGAGGGGAGGAGAGGGGAGGGGAGGGGTCAATTAAGTGTAGATACTGAATAATCCATGCACAGACCCATAATAACTCTCAAATTGACCCCAAAGAAGAGCTGAAATTCTGAAGAGTTTCATTCCAATCAATAACCAAAGTTAGGATGAATTATCCACAGACATTATAGAGAATGTACAATATGAACACTATATGCAGAAGCATAGCTGAAGACACAATGATTTCCATTTTTCACGTCTCAAGTTACTGTCTTTTGTGTACACATGGTAATCAATTAGAAACATGACTGGAAATAAAAGAATGAGGGAATGAGCAAGGAAAGAGGTGACAGTAAGATAAATAGTGCTCCTTCACTATGATATCTGAATATTAGTAAGATGTAGTGATAAGAAAACTAAGTTGAATGTAATTATTTTTGATTAATTTTCATAGGTTAAATTGCCACTCAATCAAATACAATGGTTAAGTTCATCACAACAATTAAAAAGAAACTATCTGATCTGTGTTATTATTTTCTTGGCCAGAACCAGATTTGGAGAAAAAATGAAGAACAAAATTATTTTTCTCCATGATCCTAGAAATAAAAACTTATGTGACAATTCCAGAAGAAAAATTTGAGTTGTCTGCTGAAAGCTGTGGAAGCCCTCATGGCTGTATTAGAAAGTTCAAAAGGTTGATTTTAAGGTTGAAATGCCTTTGCATTGCAACTTGCCAAATCAATTATTTATACATTTATATGAAGTAACAGTAATGAGTTTATATAAACTTGATATTTTATGTTTGAAGCTATCAGCTTTGCCCAGAGAGAAAAAAAACAAGTTAAATCTCAGTAGGGACACCATTAAGAATGCAAACAGAAAAGTAAGTTGGAAGCAATAAATCAAAGAGAAATTTAGAGATGTTATTGCATATTAAATATGAACTGACATCCATCCACATAGAACCAATGTATGCAATAGAAGACCATGGGAACATTAAGTGCTGCTTACCACCAAAGAAACTTGTACCCTTACTTTATTTTGTGATTAAAAGCCCCATAATATGGGGGATATATCCTTTTCAATCTAAGTAAATCAGGAAATTGTTACTTTTTACAATTACCTCTGATGATCTGCTAAGTTTAAGAGTCCAAGCTATCCATTCCAGGTGCACTTTACTTTGGGAAGCATGACTGCAAAGCCCATGAACAAATTGCCAGGTTAGTTTTAAAGTCCAGCATCAGCACCGATCATATTTAGATTACTCTATTATTAAAACTGGCTCTCCAATTTTTCTAGCCATGTCTGAAATATGGATAGACAATCACATTTTCTCATTTCTTGTAAATGCATTTAAGACTCCAAATAAGTTTTTTTCCTCTTACTCTGCATGTTACTTAGAATAAAACATTAATTAAATAAATCATACGCAGTTTAAAATTGAAATAGGTATACAAGCTATATGTGCATCTTCTAGCAGCCATGTCTTGCAATTTTTTAAGAAAAACCTAAAGCTTTTTCTCACTTGAAAAACATTTAAGAATGCATCTATACATTATAGTAGTATTTGACCAGCACAACACTGTTCTAACTGGATGTTTATAGATAACCATATGGAAGTCAATGCCATAGAGCTAGCCTAGAAGTTCTACTTGTTGGAGGTTGAAGCATCCTGTGCATGCATCTGAGCATTTTTGAGAGTGGGAATATGAGCTAAACAATTATCAATGAACAGGTTTTATAACTCTAATAGAAAAGAAATTGTTTACAGGAAACAAATTATAGGGATAGGCAAAGCTAAGCATCTAGCTAACTACATCCTATCAAGAGGTGCATCAAATGGAGAAAAGCTGCACAAGTACCTAGGCACCAAATGCCCCTATTCGCAAGATGCTCAAGAAGGATTCCCTGAACTGAAACACCACCCATCAGAAGAGATGCACAATGTTTATAGTACTTGTCTTGTAAAGATAAAGATTGCTGGTTAGAAACCCAAAGAAATGTTTAACCACCAGCAGTCTTTTTTATTGCAGCAGAGTACAAATCAAATCAGATCCACCCTATCAATACATTGCTGACAGCTGCACTTACTAAGTCTTTCTCCAGAGATCAACACAGAACTCTTCAAGAGATTATGGGAGTTGTGGATTGGTAAAAGAAGGAATGTTAGAGGGTCAAATCCAATGGGACTGACTCTTCAACACCTCATGGCCACAAAGAGGCAGTAAAGTATAGATAATTAAGGATTTACTCTGTGACCTATCATTGTCTATCATTCCATCTGTTCTTTGTTCAAGAGATTGTTAATCTGAGGTTACTTCCTTCTGCCACCCTTCCTAGGCACACATGCACCAAGCATAAGCTCTTAGATCTTCTCCTAGTAGCATGTAGCTAGCCAGATGCTAGGCTTTGCCTATCCCTATAATGTATTTCCTATAAATAAATCTCCTTTGTGTTGTAGTTATAAAACCTGTTCGACTAATCATTGCTCAGGTTAAATTCCAACACTAAGGTACACTCTCACATATGCACAGTGAAGGCAGTTATGTGTTCTCCAAGATCTGCACACCTTATACCTCTGCTCCATGAACTGCATTGATTGCCAGTTGGCTTCCAGGTCCAATTCAGGATGCTGGTTATAACCTGTAAAGCCCTACATGGCATCAGACCAGGATATTTGAAGCACCACCTCTCCCTGGTTACATCTACCCATCCCATCAGATCTAGCAGGAGAGGCATGTTGTGGGTCCTGCCGGCCAGGGAGTGTTGTTGGGCGGGACCTAGAAAGAAAGATTTTTCTGCCAAAGCCCCCACCCTATGGAACACTATTCCCCCCGAGGTGAGGCTGGCCCCAAACCTTGGTTTTGTCAATAACCTTGGAGATCCCATAAGAGTGGAGCCTGCCAGATTGCTGTAGGACAGTTAATGGAATGTACTCTGTATGTTTTGCCACCATTTTGTTTGTTCTTATCTGGTTTTTAGTTTTTTAATTCAAATTAGTTGTTTTAATGGTTTTGTATATTTTTTATTATTATTCTTATGTATCCCTCCCAGAGTCACTATGTGAGATGGGTGGATATACAAATGCAATTAAATAAATAAATAAAATGTTTCAACCTCAAACAATATTTACTATAGGAGTTGTTTTCCACAAGCTCTCCCCACCACCACACACATGCTGAATCATTTAGTAGAGAACGCTTCCAGAGAAGGTGAACGGCCAACAGGAATAATGTGCTTTTTCAACATTTTGGACAAAGAATTTTCTGTCTTCCCTGGAGATTTTAGAACCTGGATATTGTTCTTTCTACAAATGGCATGTACACCATCACTGAGTTATGACCAACAGGTGAATACAAATAGCATGAAAAATAGATGGGAAGGTTCATTATAGGATGGCTCAAACTCCTATACTGAATTAATCTGAAAATTATAGCTGGTAATATGCATTTGTGTGAAATTTGTGAAAGGGTGCTAATATTTATTCAGTTCATACAATCAGATT